CAGGTCACGCCAGGTCGCGCGCAGGCCGCGCCAGGTCGCGCCAGGCCAGCCAGACCGGTGCCCGGGGGGGGAGACCAACTTGGTAAGTTGTTGCCTGGGTGCTTGCCTAGTWGTCACGAGGTGCCACGTGTCGCAATTTCACTGGAGGGCCAAATCTGCCCTCATCAATTTCATTTATAAGTGGATTTTAAATTTGGCATTCCATTTTTACCATTAATAAAAAGATTTCTTACATTTCTTAGTTATTTATTTTAATTTTTGTTATTTAATCCATTTGACCCCAAATGGTTGAATTGCTTGCCCACCACTGAGAGGGAAGAAAATAGTGTCACGTCGGATCCACATAGGTGTTTTAACAAACGCCCATGTATCTCATTGTTTGGTTCAACCGATTAGGGCATGCTTCGTAAATCGGAACCCCTCCAATGCATGATTAGTGAACCGTTTTCCTCAACGGTTGACTGATGTGTATCCTATGTGATGCTTACCTGTCAGCACATATATGAAAAGCGATGATGAAAATCACCTTACCAAACAGCATAGTGTTGCTCACTACCTACATGGCAGAAGCATTTTTTTTTTGTGAAAAACGGGTCTTGAAAGCATGGCCATTTTTTTCTTGAAAATCGATCCCAAGAAGCTCCCATGCTTCCAAACACCATGCAAGATCTTTTTCCTTGCTCTCTCTCTCCCCTCTTCTTCTTTCCCATTTCATAAAACATTATGAAGTTAAGACGACAACTTGTAGTTGTACATCAATGAAGTTGGGCCTTCAAAAAAAGGACATGTATGTATATGTTTGGCATAGATGCTTCAGTGCTGTTGTGTGGTTGGAAACACCATTTTCTCAAAAAACGGTGCATTTATTTTTGTTTGGAATCGTTGCTGTCAGGTAGGGCGTTTCCTGGATCAACAATAATTTTTTCTGTTTGGTACCAATGCTCCAGGAAACGTTTTCAGCACTGGTACCCATTATCCTGTGCCACATCAGTGCTATATCACTACCACATCACTGCTATATCACTGCCACATCACTACCCTGTTGACAGTAATGAGCTACAGCTACAGGAAATGCCAAATTTGGTATTGCTCCAAACAATGGCTTCTCGATTTTCGGAGTGTAGTTTAAAACACCATTTTTTATAAAAAAACGATTCCAAACAAATACTTGTTTCCTGAAGCACCATTTTATCCGATGTGAGGCTGATATGGTGCCATCGCTCCACGAAACGGCAACGATGCCAAACAGCCACTACATCAATCAAGTTAAGACGACAGCTTGTAATTGAAGCTCATACCTCGGATTCTCCACATAACGAGCTTAAGAGTAGAAGCCATGTTGATTTTGTATAAAGGCTCAGTTTGGGAAGAGTAAGAGTATAAACACAAATACAAATATGTTCAGACTTCAGAGTGCAAATATGAACATGTTCACCGCAAATTGCATCGAACATATTTGTATTTGCACTCTTCCCAAACTGAAGGCCTGAGAAAAAACTAGTGAAGATCCAAAACTCAACGAAAAAGGCAGAGTGCAAAAAAATGTTGTGATCCCCAACTTTGTTACTAACTTCAAAACTGAAGTAACCCAAACAAGAAACAACTGAAAAGATCAATAGAAGCTATCTGTTTGCCTCCATGCACAGTTGCATATATATAGTTGCAGTACACAGGCATGTAAATGAGCCGTAACTGGTGAACTCCGAGCGGCAAATCCTAAAAAAGAAACAAACATAAAGATGGTAGCTTGGTGATCATGTTTTGTGTACATTACGTGAAAAAGGGAGTGAATCCGAATGTTTGATCAACTCAATCCCTTCTTTGGTTCCCGGATTGGTTCATGTCTGCAGAGTCACCGCTTGAGGAGCCATCCCCATACTCACTGCTAGACATTTCCTGGCTTTCCAATGCCATCTTTCTAAACTTTATCATGTCTGCGTTATATGCGTTCGCATCATATTCTGAGCTACCAATCACGCCAAACACCGTACTTTGCCCGGGCTTCACCCCTTCGTTCAAGTCATCCAGCGAGACGTCGCCTTCCAAAGCACGCACAATCTGCTCGATAGAATGCGTCAATGTTATTCGTTTGTTCATTTTCTAAAGCACGCACACACAATCTGCTTGGTAGAATGCATCAATTCTGGTCGTGACCCGATAATTTGAAATTTGGCCATGCTTTACTAAAGTTTCATACCTGACTCATTTTTGGGCGCCTCCTTGCAGAATGACGAATGCTTGCAGCAGCACATGTTACCATGTTTGCCATCTCACTGGGTTCATACCTGTTCTCCAAGCGTGGATCCACCAGCTGACTATAGTTGCCATCAGTCATAGCACGTGTTAAGATAGGTCTTGCCTGTTTATCACGTCAACAAATCAAAACATTACTGCTGGAAAATCGATGTGTAAAGCCAACAAGAAAAGAGAAGAACAATATGAAGTTGATACAAACCCAATCCACTAAGCTATCTTCCATGTATGTATTGGTGGTATCCACCGGACGTCGTCCCGTGATCAGTTCTAATAGCATTACACCAAATGAGAAAACATCAGATTTCTCAGTTAGCTTGCCACTCGATGCATACTCAGGAGCCAAATACCTGTATTTTGATCAGCAAAGATTAATCTCAGATATAATTAATGGATTTCCATCAGAGTTTCATCATGCAATCCAGCTATGCAGCCCGAATATTGTTTAGATGATCTCACCCAAATGTTCCCATGACACGCGTGGAGACATGGGTATAATTGTCTGAAGACAGCTTTGCCAGTCCAAAATCTGCCACCTGCACTCCAACGCATATTATCAGTTCTGTAGATTCCAGGAACCACATATGCAGTGACTAAGAAGACAGAATGCATGAATGATGAACACAAACCATGGCCTCAAAATTATGGTCGAGCAGAATATTTGCAGCTTTAATGTCACGATGGATGATTCTAGGGTGACCTGCAAGTAATAGGATTCAAGCTAAATGAAGCCAGGAGAGAGAAAAACAGAAAAGAAAATTCCATATGATCGATCACATACAGTCTTCGTGAAGGTAGGCAAGTCCCTTAGCCGATCCTAGTGCAATTTTTACTCTTGTTGGCCAATCCATGGTTGGAAGGTTCTTGCCTGTGACAGTGAGGAGAAGTTATTATGAACATCTGAGAAGAAATGGTGCAAAAGAATACGAAGGCTTGTTTGGGAGTGTAGAGAGCATACTATAAAGGTGGTACTCCAGCGTCTTGTTTGGAACATATTCATAGACCAACATCCGCTGCCCACCAGCTATGCAGTAGCCAACAAGGGAAACCAGGTGACGGTGATGGACACGACTGATAATTTCAACTTCTGCCTGGAACTCCCTCTCTCCTTGCCCGCTACCTGACTTCAGACTCTTCACTGCTACCTGCTTTCCATTTGCCAACACTCCCTTGTGTACAAATCCGAACCCACCTTGACCCAATAGGTTGGCCTGAGAGAACCCACCAGTTGCAGCCGCTAGCTCATCATAAGTGAATGTACTCTTGTTGAATCCAAGAGCAATGTTGGGGGATGGAGGTGGCAAAGGGGGATGATGTGGACCCGAGTAATTTGAGCTCATCTCACCGCTGCTGCTCATCATGGGTGGAGGTGGAGGTGGTGCATGCCACCCTCCGACTGGTGGTGATGGAACCTTCATACCGTGCTCCATTGATTGGGGACTGTTGTAGTAATTTGGCGGCATTGGACTGTTGTAATATTCACCAACTACAACGATCATAAATCAACAGGAAGAACAACAGTTAAAACTTTGTCCAGATGATATCCTAGCTAAGAATTGGTGGTGCAACATAAATATTTCAGCTATTATTTAATTTCCATCATTTTCATAGTGAAAATATTATGGTTCACACCTTCTAATTTGTTCTGATGTAAATTATATTGCTCGTAAAAGGGTAGAAAATGCAGGTCATGCATTTCAGCTTGGAAATCTCAAGTTTACATTGAAACATGAGCAGCAGCCGATGAGCAGTACCAAGTACTAACCGAAGTGGGATTAAGACTGAGTACCTTTGACTGGTCCACGAGCAGGATCCATGTAGTAATGCATCTGATCATGTGACCTTCTCTTCCTCTTGCAGAAGCAGTACACGCACATGACGATCATAAGTACCAGTACTACTGACACCCCAACTGTAATTCCTATTATCAAGGGTATCTTGTCATCACTAGAGGACATTGAGGAACTAGAATTCGAGGATTTGTTAGTACGTGACGATGGGGTCTTAGTTGGCGGTGACAGTGCCCCAGAAGAAGAAGATGATGATGACTTGGGGGGACTTGGAGGTGACAGAAAAGGAACATTGCCGGATGATGGAGGCGAACGACTAGACTTCTTGTTTGTAGGAGGAGATGGGGATGAATCGTCGTTGTCGTCGGATGGAGGTTGGGGCGGTTTCTTTTTAGATGGTGGTTTTTTGGGGGATGATGAGGTTGGTGGAGGTGGTGGCGGTGAGGTCTCTGGTTCTGATTCTTCTTCTGATGGTGATGGTGGTGACTCTGGAGGTGGTGACGATGATGTTGGAGGTGCTGGTGGTGATGATGATGATGATGGGGGGGTCGGTGAATCTGAAGTTTCTGGCGACGGAGCAGTCACAGGGGACGAAGCCATTGTGCTAACGAATTTCCGGCTAGACTAATGTCGAAGCTGCCGGAAAAAAACTCCACCCAACCTGTAACTGCTCGTCTATTCAAGCGAGAAACCCTGAAAGTTCCCAAATATACAGAGCTGTTATTACCTTTCATGGGGAAATAATAATAAAGAAACCTCAACAAGTACTGTATCTCACGTTCTATCTCGTATAGAGAAGATAGAGATAGATAAATCGTAGACATAGTTAATTAGATAGAGATAGAGATAGAGATAGAGATAGCACCTGAGTTAACAGCCTTGGAAGAGATTCGTCCTTCCCCCCAGTCACCACCACCGGAGGAGCGAGCATTTCCGCATCCTTTTAATTGGGCTTTGCTCAGTCATACTTCAAAGGCCCACAAAAGCCGCCTCTCTCACTGTCTCACACCCCAAGAACGAAAAGGAAAAAAAACTGACTATTCATAATCAATCTCCTCTCCGTTGTCTCTGCCACCTTTCGTTTGGGTTGAGTTTGTTATCGGGTTTACCTATTCTTGGCCTGTGATTATGCGTCAATAGTCACATTTGGACCAGATTAATTCTGGGTGGCCTAATCAATGGAAATGCTTTTGCAGGTTGCACCTAGGAACACTTGTAAGAAAGTTGGCCCCATATTGCACTTGCGGTTATTAATTTCCGTACGTACGAGCGTTCTTCGTTGAAGAGCCAAGTTTTCAGAACAATTTCCTACTATGATTCGTGACTGTGTGGGCTCGGTCCAGGAAATGGGAACAAGCTCACCCCTTTTGTTTACAGATTAAATTGCATCAAACCCAGTAAAAATGCATATCTTGCATACCTCTATGTGAGACCAAAACCAGACGTAAGGCTGTATTATTTGCACTGATGCAAAATTATGATAATGCATCAGTGCAAATGAATAAAAAAAAAGACTTGAATAAAGTAAAATCCAAAACAAACTTAAATCAGAATTTGCATTTTTTACATTTACACTCCCATGCATTTGTACATGTACAAGTGCAAATAAAATTGCACTACAACCAAACGCAGCCTATGGCCTTTTGTGCACAAATCCGTCTCTTTCTTCCCCGTTTATATTCTCATCTGATAACTCAAATGTTCCTTTCTTTCATCCACTCTGTTCCCCTAGTCGTTACCCAGTCCATTTAACATATATGATCCAATTCCTTATATAATTTATTCTGGGCAAAATCTATGACTCACCTATTGCACTTGTAGCAGAAGATGTTAACCAACTTTGGTTCACGTTTTATTAAACGTTGAAGTATACTTTGTTAAATGTTATAATATATTTTGTGAAACGTAAACCAACGAAAATTAAGATATATTTAAGGTGATTGGTTGAAATCTGAATTTAACGTACATACAATACTAGTGAATGTGCCCTAGTTTAACTCTTTCTTTTATCATTTTTGCATGTCATTACATCTTAATTATCAAGTCGTTCGTCCTAACTCATAATCCATGTCAAAGATCATCCAATAATTAAGGGTTGTTCACCGTATATATGATTTTTTTCTGTTTATATTTTTAAAGCAAAATTATATTATTTTTGTTTATTTGATCGTGATTTTTGTTTTCACCCGGCCCTCCGAAAAATAAATTATCATAAAATTAACAAACTCCTTAACAACATTGATTTTCTAAAAAAACAACCATTAAAAAAGAAACTACAAAAAACAAAAATAATTTTAAATATCTCACCAATGCAAAGATAAAAATAATAATATATAAATTATTAAATAAATACAACAAAATATAGGTATAACTGTATGAAAAAAATTGTAACAAATAAGAACTTATAAGAATAATATTATTCACAACAAGTTCCGATCAAGAGAAAGAAATAAAGGTGATAAAAAATTATGAATTATAATTTCTAAAAATAAATTATTTCATTTATGAAAATAGATGCAATTATATGACAATAATAGAATCAAAAAAACTAAATATGCACATAAAATTCATTTGCCAAATACAAATGATATTTTCAATGGGAATTTGTGACAAATATCTTTCATTTTTACCTAATAAAAGAAAAAATAACTTATTATAATTTGTAAATGACTTCATAAAATATCTTGGACAGTGTCAATACTAGTGCCTATATGCCTTGAAACGCTAAATTCCAAATGTAAAAACCCAAGGGCTTACAAAACGAAAAAAAAAAAAGAGGTTGGGACTAAAAAAATGCAAATCCAAGATAATCAAATATGAATTATCTCTTCTCCTATATTTTTTTTTCTTATATTTTTCAATCATATAGGGATCTAAAAACTAAAAATAAATAAATAATAAAAGTAAACAATTATCCTAACATAGCAACAATTAGAATGATTTTACATTAAAAAAATAAGGATTGTAATTTGTAAAACACCAAAAGAGAGATATCTTCGAGTGTGTTTTATCCTTCGAGAATGTTAGAATGAACAGAGTTAGAATGGAAGGAAATTTTACTTGGTTGGCCTTCCTAATTTCCTCCTCCACAATTATAGTAACATGTTCCAAGCTTCTAACCCTAAACTTAAAAGAGAATAGATGGTTTGAATAACCACTTTAGTTTGTAAGGGTAATGCTTGTCTTGTCATATTGGAAAAAATATGAGAGTATAAGAGTCACTTTCATTTCTCATTATTTCAGTTTTAGATTTTAAGTAGGCCATGGGACCCGGGCTTAACCTGAGCCTAATTGTCTAACCGAACCTGAGTTTTTGCATGAATTGGGCCTGAATTTTTGGGCTACGGGGTGGGCCTGTGCCAAAATTTTGGGCATGGCCTACACGCCAATTTGCTGTTTCTACCTAAAATGTTCTACAAATAGCCTCTCATTCATGCATTTTAGGTATTGTTTACTTAAACTATAAACAACACCATAATAGTCGTATGCCAATTTGTATTAAGCAACCCAAAACATTCAAAGTGGAAACAGTAATGGCACCAAACACAACCTTAGTCCTTTTACCGAATAAGTTTTTAAAGGAACTTGCCAACTCCTTAATGGCCGAAATTGTTGATCAGCTCTTATTAAAGAGTTCATATGATTATCAATAATAGATGACAACCAAGGATTGAATTATTCTTCTTTTCTATAATTTTTTGCCTTGTGTTTTTGTTTTTTTATTTGAAAAAAAAATTTCCTTAATAAAGCTCTGTCCTAATTATATGAAATCACCTACATAAAACTTATTCCCTCACTCCGCTTTAGACAAAACAACAATTCAAATTTCATGTTCACAATAAAAGTTTGGGCTGGAGAAAGGGCAAAGTAATGGAGTTTAATGTGTTTTCCTTTGATATTCTAATGCCTATTTTTCCCAACCTATATGTGTGCGTGCACGTGTGTGTGTGTTTTACTTTCTCAAAAAAATAGCATTTAAGAAGATGACTGTTCCAACTCTTAAACAAAAGTCTATTCATTTTCAAATTGAAGTTTTATTCTTTAGACATATGCCTGCAGTCTGCCTACATAACATAGAAAAAATGAGTAATTAATTCCACTTTCAAGAAAAATGCTAATTTATTTAGACACGTGTCTACCTATAAAAAAATACCCAATCCTTCAAAGATGTGGAACCCATCTTTGGAAAAAAAGTGTTAACTTTACACATGATTACCTATAAAAAAGTATTCACTTCAAATGATGTAGGGTTCGTATTAATCTTTGTAATTATTTTTCTGATTCAAACAAAGGACTAATTATAAAGATTTTTAAATTATAAAAAAAAATATTTTATTTTTTAAATTAAATAAGCTATACTTATTGGATAAATAATGAATCTTGAACAAAATAATAATATTACCAGAAAATTAAAAAAAAATATGATATCCAGGCACGGTTGCCCCATACTTAATACCGGATCATTCTTTTTAGGCTTAGTTTGAAAAGAGTGCAAATATAATTATGTAAAATGCAAATATAAGATTTTAAAAATATGATATACGCACCGAATATTTGTACTTATACTAATGTAATGTGGGTGAGCTTGGGATGGGATTTTGTCAAAATATTGTGGTGGGCCCAGCCCGAAGGCCTTAAACCCAAAACCATGTAAAATATTAACTTGAGCCACCCCTGAGACCTGAGTTGCACCCCTTGTGCAACTTGGGCAGGCTCGGGTTGAGGATTTGCTAAATTTGAATGTACCCATATTGGATGTATGTAAAATTTCGAAGTTGATATCTATGGCTAATAAGTTATGTTTGATTTGAAGGAAAAAAGTAGATAAAGAAAAGGTAATAAAACCTATACAAACCAAACACCGCTCAAAATTTGAAAGATCAAAGGCTACCCGATCCGAGTTGATCAGGTTACCAGAAATTGAAACCGAAACCGACCCTGTGTTAAGCAAAACTGACCTGATTGGTTTGAGTTGGTTTTGGTCAATTTGGGTCGGTTTCGACTCTACTTAGTGGTGACTTAGTTGTTGTACAACCTAACTTAATTAGGATAGAAACAACTTAGTTAAGTAGGAACTAAATAGGTTGTAACTACTAGCTAGGAACTAACTACTAAGTCAGTTCAGTTCGAATTAATTTCGATTTTTACACATAAAAACCGAAACTAAACCGAATCATCAGTTTATGATTTTTTATAATCCGAAACCAACCGATGCTGAAAAAAACCCAACCAACTTGAGCTGAGTCAGTCTTGATTGATCGATTTGATCGGATTGGGTCTTCTTATGAATAGCCCTATGGGGTATAAAAGTAAAATTACATCGATGGAGTTGTACTCCAATTGCTTTAAAGTTATGAACTCTGTATTTTACACCGCAAAGCAACATTGTGTTATGAACAAACACAGCCAAACATAAAAATAACATAAGGAAAATTTCGGTATTTTAAGATGTATGAACTCTCACATTTGACCTCGTTATCTCATGGAATGGCAACAATAAAGCAAAGCAATGAGTAAAAGTAAAAAGTAAGGGAGTCCAAAACCGAAAGGACAAACGGGTCTGTCATCTGTGACGTACTGACGTCTGTCGCAATGGGGGTAATCGTCAAGACCCCAAAAAACAGGGTGGGTGTCTGTCATTTACCCTAAAAATAAGTGATTTGCGAGCGGGACTCGCACGTAGTACAGCCAGGACATCGCTGGCTACGGGAGAAATAACGTAGACCCAAAATTCTCCAATAGTCGCACTTCTCCCGGATCTTCTCCTCTCAAGGGAAAACAAGAGTAAGAGAAACACCGTACTCCATACAATGCCTTCCCGACGAAGAACACTTTTGAAGGTCATTATTCTCGGCGATAGCGGGTTAGTGAGATTTTGTTATTATTATTTTAATTTTCTCTTCTGCATCCATCTTCAATTTCTGGGTCTGCAGACGATCAGATGGATCTCTCGAGATCTTCCTTCTCTGAGATTCATCTAAAACCCTAAATGTCAGCTAGTAGCAGGTTTTATACTTCTCGAAGCCCTAAAAGAGGCAGTTTCAAGAGTAAGAAAAGGAGTGGATGGAATTCTTAAATACTCAATAATTATCACTGTTAACATAATTTTGAGGTGTTGAAGTACTGTAGTTTTTCTTCAGTTAAGTGCTATAACTCGGATGAGATATGTTTGATATATGATATTAACCTGTAATAATTATCATAAAAATATTTTCACAGAAGTTGTAGCTCTTTGTTGGATCAATTGTCGAGATTGTTCCGCCTTTAATACTTCCACTTTTGTTTCGTTCATTTCGAATTTATTTCCCTCTTTCCTCTGTAAAGTTTGTTTAACTTGCTTCTTCTTATGATGTTGGGATGTTGGTTTGTTTCCTCTGTCATTTGCAGGGTTGGAAAGACCTCTTTAATGAATCAGTATCCTTCTGTCCACAGTCTAGGTATTTTTGTGTTCATGATAAAAAGCTTGCACTTTTTCATACATATGGAAATAATTGGGAAAAGGGGAGGATCTAATTGCTTTCCTTTTTTCTTTACTTTTTCGTTATTACTTTCTGTCTGGTTTATATTTCCCTTGACTATTCACTTTTAGATATGTGAATAAGAAATTTAGCAATCAATATAAGGCAACTATTGGAGCCGATTTCTTGACAAAAGAAGTTCAGTTTGAAGATAGACTCTTTACCTTACAGGTTAGAATCTATCTCTATAGTTGCATGAGGAATTTAACTTCACTTTATTTTGAGAGTTCTAATCATTGGGAGTTTTAGATTCACGATAATTGCGCCAGTTGTTCCCTTCTAAGTTGGTTTGCAATTCTTATTTGCAAGAGCACTCATTTCCTTGTTGCTTCTTTTTTACAGTCAACTTTGCAGTCATTATGATATTTCTTACATACATCATCAGGAAAAAAGTGATTGTATGATTTCACTTGATGGTGTACCACCCAGATTTGGCGTTATTAATTTGGTAACTGCTGATTTTGCAAGGATCTCAAAACAACTCTAAGGCTTTAACTTCTTTCTTTAAATCTATGCCCAAAAACAAGATTCCCAATAGCATCCAAGGTTTGCAAGCTGCACTAGGGACTACTTAGGCTAAGACAGAGATTAACTGATTGTAAAAGTGACAGCCCACCCCAAAGTTCAGAAATTTCATTGAGTGTACCATGCAGCTTATAAACTGGCAATTGTTTGTTAGGAATCATTCTGAGCAACTCCATTTGTTGTTTAAAAGATTATTTGGTTGGTGAATCTAGTGATGAAAATTCTATCTGGTACTCTGATGGCTAATGCCTTCAGAACCTGCAAGAATCATGGTAGCATAGGCTCCAGCCCCACAAAATTGAACAAAGATAAATTTTGATGGCTGTAGTTTGGGTAATCCGGGTGAATTGAGTGTAAGAGGGCTCTTCAAAGAACATAAAGGAGTTATTCTATTTGCTTTCTGAGGGCCCAATAGGTGTGAGGAACTCAATAAGCACAGAAGTCCAAGCAGTGCTTCAAGGCCTCCGGCTAGCATGGATTTTGGGACTCAGGGATCTGCTTATATAAGAGGATTCACAGTCTTTGGATGTTTATATGCAGGATGTGAAGGATCATGGCACCTTAGGTACCAGATTAGGGAAGCAAGACATTTGGCTAATGAGATGGAAGTAGGGGTGTCCATGGTTCGGTTACCGAACCATGGACAATTTTTGCAAACCAAACCGGTCCTACCGGTTTTTCAATTTCTCCAAACAGGTACCACCGGTCCGTCGGTTTCGGTTTTTTGGTTTTTTATATTTATAATATATATTATATAAATATATGTATAATATTTTATTATAAATAATAAATGATATATAAAATATTATAAAAATATATAATATATTTATAAATAGATTATTATAATAATAATAATATATATATATATAATGCATATATATTTACATATAAATATATATACCGGTCGATTCGGTTAACCGTTAGTTTTTTTCTAGGGTAACCAAAAACCAAACCGGTCTTTCGGTTTTTCAAAAATACCAAACCGAAACTGAACCAATCACTTCGGTTAACTGCATTTTCAGGTTCGGTTTTCTCGGTTTGGTTTGGTTTTTTGGTTTTTCATGGACACCCGTAGATGGAAGTAATTTTTAATTGGATGCCCCACTTTGCTATTTGTATTGCTAACTCTCTAGCTTGACAAGAAGCTAGCAGATAGCACCTGGTTTGGGATGATTATCCTTTAGACTGAAAAAATGACCCTTTAGTGTAAAGTTGTTCTTATTCTTGAAGCTATATACGGGAATTGGGGAGGAGCAGCACAAGGCTGGCTTTATTTGTAATTTGTTTGTTTGTAGTGCAATTTTATTTGCACTAGTACAAATGCATGGAAGTGCAAATGGAAAGAATGCTAATTCTGGTTTAATTTTGTTTTGGGTTTTACTTGATTCTACTTCAGGTTTTATTTTACTTCATTTTCACTGCAATAAAACAAAGTAAGGTAAGATTTGAAACAAAAATAAATCTGAATTTGCACTACTATAGTTTTGCACCAGTGCATTTTTTTTTTGATAAATTGCATCAGTGCAAATTTACCAAACAAGGCCATAATGCTTGGTTTGTTTGCTATGCAATTTCATGTGTAGTGGTGCAAAAGTAAGAGATTGCAAATGATTTGAGAGTAAACTCTGGTTTGCTTTTGTTGTAGGTTCTACTTTGTTTTGTTTATTTGCATTGCAAATAAAATAAAATAAAACAGGACACAAAGTAAAACAAAACCTGAAGCAAAAATGAAGCAGAATTTGCACTCTTTGCATGTGCACTCCTATAGATTTTTTAGTAGTGTAAATAAATTTGCATAGCAAATAAACACGGCTAAATAAGTATAAACTCACCCTTTAGACATTATTTGTACATTGCTTTTTGAATAAATGTAAATCTAAATGATTTTAAAAAAAAGTCTAAGTTTAGTTGTCTCACAGATAACAGTTTCTTTATTTAACATTCAAGTTGAATAAAGGTTAAGTCCATACCCAGTCCACCCTTTAGACATTATTTGTACTTTGCTTTTTGAATAAATGTAAATCTATAAATGATTTTAAAAAAAAGTCTAAGTTTAGTTGTCTCACAGATAACAGTTTCTTTATTTAACATTCAAGTTGAATAAAGGTTAAGTCCATACGCAGTCCACCTCTACCAAAACCCCGGATTGCTGGGTCCAACATTGGGTAATGGTCCTTTTTTCTTCTACTTAACGTCCAAGTCAGCTTGACCAAAAGAAGGTAGGCTTAAGGGCCTAAATGCTTCTTACATAACAACCCCAAGCCAGAGGCACCAACAATAAATGCTTCAATCAAGGCCTCCTTTCATTCTGTTCTAATTGGTGAATGTGGCAGGTAGATGTATAAGTCTTGTATGGAAACACTGTGTATCCCATGATTATCACATTACAAGATCTAGGATTTCCTGTCACACTTTTTTTTTATGAATATTTCCTGTCACACTTTTAGTTCACCCAATCATAATCTACTTCTACATTTTAAGAATCTTGTACCTATTTAAGGCTCCAAGTCACGCCGATGAGGTGTTGAGATGAGCATTTATCAGGGTTGAACTTGAGACAACATCAATTACAAGGAGCACTTTGATAGATGGATCTGGATCAATAAACCTGTATATAGCACAAACTGAACCTGTGTTGTCAGATCCTGATTGGACATAAAGTCAAAAAGCTTATTGGGTCAGCATTTTCCAGTTTAACCACTGGTTTAATAATTCAACCAGTAAAAACCATAAAAAAAAAAGAAAAAGAAAAATTGGGATCCTAAAGTTCACTAGATCACCAGTTCAACCATCCAAGCTGATCCAGGTCTAACTGTCAACCTTGAACAGTCTTACATCATTCATTTTTATGCATTTTCACAATTATTTTTTGTTATTTACTTTTTTCCATTCATCCTTGAATAAAAAATTAGAGAAATGAAACTTTGTAAAGTTTCTTTTGAGAAGAAAATTACCTGCTAATAAAATAATAATATATGTGTGAACACTTAAATTGAATCAGAGCAGAGTGGATGAATAAGTTATTTAATTTTAGCTGGAATACTGTGTTACTGAAGTATATTTACTGAACTTGACGAAAATTTAAATAAACATCTGAAATACAAGGCATGCTTCATGGAATACGAATAGTTAAGACTGGATAGATTAAAATTAGAAACTTGTGCAGTTAAGTTAACTTTGGGGGAATGTTAAGGATAGCTCAGTGTTTTAAAAGGTGTGGGAGGCGTATGCCTGGAGGCGCACCCAAAACGCCCTGAGGCATATGCTAGAGGTGCTGACACTTCTGAGGCGTATGCCTCATACACTCTTTTGAAGAGACGTATGCCTCATACACACCTCATATAAAAAGAAAAAAAAATAAAGAAAAATGAGATCCTCCTCCCCTTCCTCTGCATCCCCCTCCTCTTAAGGAGACTTACGCCTCCTTGTGTTTGGGAGGCTTACACCTCTTATGTTCTGAACTATGCTTCACACCTCTAGGTAGTGGAACGCCTTGCGTGATTGTGTCATGCCTGCAGGCTTTAAAACATTGGAATAGCTATTGTAGATTGAATGATCTGACTAGTTGAAAAGGGCTCAATCCATCAAACTCTTTTAGTACCATTGCTAACTATAAGAAGCAAGTCAACATCCATATTAGATTTTGGGAGTGTTCTAGATACCCTATTAAATACAATTGAGTTTATGGAACATTGCTTAGGGATGGTGCTGGATTCATGACAAGATTAGACAGATTTAACATTTGCAATGAAGACTAGTGATTGCACCAATAAGGATTAATGTTTTAAAACACAGAGGTGTGATTCGAGGCATTCCACAACCTGGAGGCGTGAGGCGTTCAGAACATAAGAGGCATAAGCCTCCTTAAGAGGAGGAGGAGGAAGAAGAAGAAAAGGAGGGAGGATCTCATCTTTTTTTTTTTTTTTAATTTCCTTTTTATGAAAGATGTTTTGTATCAAGAAGAATGAAGATGCATAACACTAGATGAAAGGGGGATCCTGTTGAAGAGAAGGCAACCTGAAATGGAGCAGGACCCCCTAGGACCAAAAAAATCAAATTGGGCTGCATTAAAAAGGTTTTATTTTTTTTGGGGGGGAAGCCCTCCAACTAAGGGGGTCCACGAAACTTTCTTTCCCTTTCTTTTCTTTCCTTTTCCTTCTTTCTTTTTGTATGAGGCGTGCATGAGGCACATACCTCAGAGGCATTAACAATGCCTCTAGCATGTGTTTGGGGTGTTCTCGGGGTGCCTCACCTGGAGGCACGCACTAAAAGGACAAGCAGTCAGGAATAATGTCATTTTTGGTACTGAAATAATTTGCTAACTATACTTTAATAGCTGGTAATACCAAAACAATGGGAAAGAATTCCATTTTATGAAGTCTTAGTTTAATCAATAACAATAATAATTAAATACTTGTTAATAATCAAAAGATACATATTAATAACTTGAAAAGTTCTTTATCATCATAACATTATATTAAGAAACACTCTAACAATCACAGGATGTCTAAAGTAGTTATTTAAGCAAAAGCTTACAAATGAGAGGAGGGATTATATATCCATCATAATTTGAAAATTCCAGAAGAAACCTCTCCCTCATTTTTCGTTGTGCAGAGGGAACGTCCTCATCTTTTGTTTGTTATTAATAAAATCACTATTTATCAAAAGAAAACAATTTATAGATTCTAGAAGAAACAATTAAAATGTAGAAGCTTTTAAAGATTTTTCTTGATATTATGTAAGTTGTTTTCACTCCTCTCTCCAAAGAGGCTTAGCATTCCTCTTAACTTCAAGAAATTTTGTGATCTCGCTTTTCCAAGAATACTTCCTGTTTTCTGGAAGTTTTGATGTATCGCGTGGCTCAGATTCTTTTAGCACTTCGGTGGTGGAATTTGCTATATCCTATGATTTGACAAGCTTTTATTTTGACAGATATGGGATACAGCTGGTCAGGAACGATTTCAAAGCCTAGGTGTGGCTTTCTATCGTGGTGCAGACTGCTGTGTTCTTGTATATGATGTTAATGTGACGAAGTCATTTGACAATTTGAACAACTGGAGAGAAGAATTTCTTATCCAGGTACTTCTTGTGGACTTTGAGGTATTTGATTGCAACATTTAACCATACTTATCTTTTGGAAGATGTATTTAAACACAAAAAGTGCACAAAATACAGCACAATTATAGGTGGATTCATTTTAGTCTTAAAACAAAGTATGCAATTTGACCACAATGATTCCAATTGAATAGCTCTTCAATTGCAACTAGTGCCCCTTCATAGTCCTTTCCTTTTGTTAAATTCATTGGAGTTTTGAATTTGCAGGCAAGTCCTTCAGACCCTGAGAATTTCCCATTTGTTGTTTTGGGGAACAAGGTTGATGTGGATGGTGGAAACAGCAGAGTGGTAGGTCATACGTTTTCTTCAATTGTTTCTGAGTTTTATTTATTTCATCTCTTTTGCTGATGTTGGCTTGTTGTCATGGTTCACTCCAGGTTTCAGAGAAGAAGGCCAGGGCTTGGTGTGCCTCAAAGGGGAATATTCCTTACTTTGAGACATCTGCCAAGGAGGGTATTAATGTAGAAGAAGCTTTCCAGGTCATAGCTAAGAATGCTTTGAAGAGTGGAGAGGAGGAAGAAATGTAAGTAAAAGATTGATCATATCAATACACACATATACACAAACACATAATGGCTTGAAGAGTGCAGTTGGTGCACATTCCCATGGTCAAAATGACTTCATTATGCAATAGTTCAGCGAATCTCCTTGTTGAAGGGTGATTCAAGCTATGGGATATGTTCCCATCAAATTGACAATTGCAATTCAACTACTTAATTTCTTGAGCCATTGCCAGGCATTTGTTCTGGCACGAGGCATCTGTTTTCTAAAACATATCATTTTTGAACAGGTAAAATAAACATTATTAAAAAGAAAAGGCAAGGAATACATGTCATGATTTTAAATTTTGGTGAAATTTCATAATGTTTGGCTTTGGATATGGTAACCAAAACAAAAAAATGAAAACTTTGGGCATATTTTTTAATCAAAATTTCAATCTTTTCCAAAAATCAATAATCAAAATTAAACCTTGTCAAAATTTTGCCCAAGTTTTTTGAAATTTCAAAATTTAAAACCTTAATGCACATATCTCAAAAAGGAATGTTTTGAAAACCTTCCTATTTTCCAAGAAATTCCTCAGCCCTGACTGATTGAGTTCAACTGCCATCCAGAATTTTGAAGAGTAACTTGATAATCTAATGTGGAGAGCCCCTTAGTTTATTATCATCATCATCATTATCTAATGTGGATACCTCCTTAGTTCATCATCATCATATGGAGTCAGCTACGTGATCCAAACTATATGGAGTTGGCTATGTGCACCCTGTTTCGTGATTCTGTTCTTTTTAATGCCATATCATTGTTAAATTATGAACACTTGAATAATTTCTTAGTAATTCAACTTCAACCCATGTCCTTTTTGGTATAATGGTATAGCCATAGCCCTTTTTGCCCCTTCAACTTGTAACTGATCATTTTTTCTTATAGTGCTGTAAGTGGTCTTCTATGCATACAAGTCTACTTTCTCTCATTTTATCACCTACTGTAGCTACTCCTAGGATCCTCTGAATGACTTCATTGCTAACCCTATCCTTGCTAGTTTTTCCACCCATCCATTTCAACATACACATTTTTGCCATGTTTCTTGGCTGTCCAACACTCTGGTCCATACAATATTGCTGGCCTTGTCACTGTTCTATAGATTTTTCCTTTTAATCTAGGCGGTATTCACTTATCACAGAAAAACACCAGACGCACCCCTCCATTTTTTTCCCTCCTGCTCTAATTTTATGGATGCCACCCTTCTCAGTCCCTCCCTAGTCCCTAGTTATCAACAAATAGTGCATTTGTTTTTATTATGGTTATATATATATATATAGCCTACTTTCTCTTTATGGGTTGCTTCAAGTACATGAGTTAATAGGTGGGAAACAGATTGGTTACTTGGTATTATACTGAGAATAAGCAAATTTCAGAAGATTTGCTTATTTTATTGAGGATAAAGGTTTTACGCTCGTATGAAGAAGCTTCTACACTGGAAAACTGCATTTTAATCTTTACAGGAAGTTACTGACACCAGCTTTGTCTGCTTACTGAAGATACTTGCCGGACACCATTGATGTTGCAAGTGGGAGTCAGCAGGGGTCCACAGGATGCGAATGCTAGATATGTTACATCAATCATTTATTATGTGATTTAACCACTTGTTTCAGTTATATAGGACCCTTTCCCCTTCTTTCCTGTCCGTTAATTCTTAAATGTGTTACAAGACTATCAATTGTATGTTAGCGTTTGCGCAGGAAATAATTGATTTCTTTGTACTTGTTTGGTGGCTTAAATGGATCAGGGGTATATTTGTTGTTACTACTTCCGCTTTTCTGTTTGTTAAGAAAAGGCATATAAGAAAATGGAAAGAGTTGCATGGCTGCCATTAGAACTTCAGATGTGAGGCTCTTTAAAAACCTGGACGAAATGGTCTGTCCAGAATTTCAGATGCAGTTAGTTCAATATTATCTCTTGGTCCATATGTCTAGTGTGTCTAGTGATGAAGGCTTTACAATGGTTGCTCATTTTTTTAACATGGAAGTTGGAACCTGTATACATGATGGTTTCGCTTTTTGTTTACATGTTTTAGGGTATAAATTATTTGATCTTGTATGTGGTGGATGATCGTGTTTATGTCCACATTTTCCAAGTTTCCAGAATACCGGGTAATGCGGAAAATGTAAATGGAGTTATTTTTGGGTTGCTCGGATCTGCAACCCACTAGACGGTGTTTACATCCCACCCACAAGGTAACTTCAACCACGCTTTGAGAACATCTCCAGTGTCGTCATTCATGAAAGGTAAAGTGTCTTGTGGGCTACAGGTTTGGATTCGCAAGCACGGCAAGCGGAGCTTGGATCTCCTGCCCACAAGGATCGTGCCTGATGGTGCGTGATCTAACTACTACTAGTTGGAAGGCGATCTGAATTCTAACTGGGTGGTAAGCTGGACCGGTATGTAAAACAGTGAATCATAGATCCTAGGGTAGTTAATCCGGTAAGGTCGCTCTGATGCTTAAGTTAGTACTTATGTTGTGAATGCGACCTGAATGTTTGAGAGTTTGACTGTTACCGAGTAAAATAATCGCGTATACATTTGCCTTGAGGTTTAATGTCTTTATATAATAGAGTAGTCGTGAGCCTTACGAAAGAGCTCTGGGATCTTCGGGCTGTAGAGATAAGGTTTGTTCCGTTTTTTAAGGAGAATAATATATTGATAAGGTTTATCGTTTACCTCCGATTCAAGCGGAGTCGGGACGAGTTCTCATCGTGATCTCGAAAAATTCGGGATTTATTGGCTCATCGTGATCTCGAGAAATTCGGGATCTGTTGGGGATTTCTTTGGAGTTGGTTATGTAGCGTTTCGGCTCATTAGCTTTGAGTTGGAACTTCGATTTTTTAGTCCCGAATTGAATTGGGTGTCGAGGTGCTTCTACACAGAGGGGGTTTTGGGCCGAGGTGGTTGAATACCCGAACTCCGAATGTTGCGAACTAGGTTCGTTTGGCTGAGTTGTCACCCCTCGATCAAATCGTGCCCACGTGTCCCCTTTTTGCTAGATCGTGCCAAATCACCCTTCATCAATTGCCCTCCACTCCTTGTGCCATGGGTCCCAACCCAGTGTGAGGAATTCATGATGAGTCCAGGTGGATTTGGCACGAAGGCTAGACGACTTGAAGGGCAAACCATTGGTCGGGCCTGTTTAACGACCTGGCTCAACCATGAAATGACCCAGGTCGCATCTCAGCCACGCGCGGACGTCACACTGTTTATAGACTCCGTAGACGTCAAAACACACGTTAAATTGATTTCAACCTCGAGGGGCATGCAACCGGTTTCCTTAGGAGCCGTCAGATAGTGTTGATCTTGACCATTGATTCCCCCTATACACTAGCTATAAATAGGGGCCAAAGGGCTCATTTTCCTTGCCACAAGTCCACAAATATGCAATTTTTGAGGTCGAGTTCAAGTCTTCCAATTCGGTATCAGCCTTTTCTGGGTCCGAGGTCGCTTTCTTTTCTTCGGTCTTCCTTTTGGTGAGTCCACCTTCCTTTGCTTTTTCCTTTTGATTATGTTGTCTTTTCCTTTAATATGTCTAGCCTTACCTTAGATAGTCTTTTAGACGGGAGCGGTGAGTCCACTGAGGTCTATGTGGGTACCTCAACTCAGACTGTGGATCCTCGTCCTACCGAGGTGGTCACTTCGGGACAGGACGCGGTCCTCAGTCCGCTCGGGGTGAATTCACCTTGGTGAGAGCGAGAGGCCTCTGGTAACTCGGCTTCCACCTCACATCGAGATCAGTTGCCAGACGACTTCGACCCGTCAATTATGACGGCAGACAAGCTCCTAGCCTTAGTAGCCCAGTACATACTCCCTAACGACCTTGTATATAGCAGCCCCTTAGGCAACTTTCCTTGGGATCATGATCACAACGAAATCGTGATCTTCGAGGAGCAACTCGTAGCTTATTTGCGTCTTCCACTTCACCCCCTTATAATCGAGATCGTTAGATTTTTTAACATTACCATAGATCATCTAACCCGAACTCTATCCGTAACATCGTAGGGACCATTTCTCCTTTTCATGATTACAACTTGACCTCAACGTTTTTTCTTCAATTCTTTCCATTAAGAAAAATCCGTCCTGTGTTTTTCCCGACCACAGGCGAACTTACTACTTGTCACCTCATCCTGAATACAAACTGTTGCACGAGCTCCCTAATAAGGTCCCAGCCTGGAAGAGGCATTACTTCGTGGTCCGCAACACCGAGGGGTGGCCATTCCCGACTCATTGGAGGGAAGCCATTCAAGACCCCGGCATTGGCCTGAAGTTCGAAGACTTCGTTTCCGAGGAGAAGCTCGTGCAGGCCGGCATAAGTCCTCCTGATAGGTCATTGTTTGTTGTACTTTCTCTATTCGTTTTACTTTGGTATTGTATCTGACTTAGCTCATTTTCATCGCAGCTGCCATAGACAACATCCATGTTGATGACCTCTTCGGGAGCATGAAGAAGGGAAAGAAGAAGAAGAGAGCCTCCAAAAAGGCTCGCGTCGAGAGTGAAGCAACTAGAACTGAGCCTATCGTTCCTGAGCCCGAGCAACCTCCCGTGATCGATCTGGTCGAGGAGGACTCGGGCAAGCCCACCCCACCCCGCATGCCCGAGGAGGCTATATCTTCAAAGCCCGCCCCAGTGGCTACCACTTCTTCGGGCAGCGATGCTCCAGTTCGAAGCATTTTGACTCCAAAGTTCGGCCTTCTCAAGAGCAAGGATGTGGTGTTCGCTGAGGAGGTCGCTCGTTGGGCCGACTTGCCAGTCACTCAACTCGGGGCCATGCGGCTACACACTGTATGGTGGTACGTTCTTGAACTTGTCTTTCGAATTGTCTCGTACTTAGATTTTTGTATACTGATACTCGTTTTCTTATCTTGGCAGGTGAACTCCTCCATCCATGCCTTGGCTTATCAGTCCGAGGTGAATCTGAAGCAGGCTCTCGAAGCTGAGGAGTCTTCCCGAAATGCCCACGCCGAACTAAACTTAGCTCGTAACGAAATCAACCAACTGAAGAACGACGCGCAAGCTAAGAAGGAGCTGCTAACTCTGTTAATGTCAAAGAAGAAGGAGCTCGAGGAGCGTGAAACGGCATTGAAGAGGGAGGTTGAGAACCTCGAGGCCCACGTGAAGGAACGAACCGAGCTACTGCTTCAGGCGATGGAGGAGGCCAAGGTTAAGGCTGTTGAGGAGTATAAGTCCTCAGTGGAGCTTCAAGAAAGGCCGGTCAAGGCAGGGACAACGGGTTACCACAAGGGATTCAAACTCAGCAGGTGGTTGACCTGATGTGAATTTCCCCACCTCGACCTCAGCGTCATAACCACATCGATGATCACCAAGGAGATGGCCATCGAAACTGCCAAAGATCCGGACTTCGAAGCGGAGAGTGATGATGATGTGCTTAACGAGGAAGATGAGACAGGTGGTGGTGAGGACCGTATGGAGACAGATCCTCCTGCCGAAGTCTCCAATAAGGATGAAGAGCCCTAAAGTGATTGAAGCCTCTTTTCTTGGACCCCCCCCCCTCTTTTTGTAATGCTCAATGTTCCAAGCCTCCGAGCTTGGTCAATTGTATTTTTTTTTTGTACTTGAATTTCTATATCAATGAAATACAAGTGTTTTGCAATCTTTATGTGCAAATTTTTTCTAAGTGTAGATTACCCCCGAGCTGGCGAACTAAACCAAATAGGAGTGAACTTTTTTCTAAGTATAGGTTGCTCTCGAGCTAGTGAGCTAAACCAAATAGGAGTGAACTTTTTTCTAAGTATAGGTTACTCCCGAGCTAGTGAGCTAAACCAAATAGGAGTGAACTTTTTTCTAAGCATAGGTTACTCCCGAGCTGGTGAGATTGACACTAGTAGGAATGATCTAATTGTCATTGTATGCCAGGGCGAACAGACACTGTAAGGTACATACCCGATCTGTCTATGCCTGGGTCACTCATTTGCCTAGGTATTGGTTATCCCAAAGTGTCGAACTAACGAGCTTGACTCCATGTGGGATTAACCTTACGTTGTTGTACGCTGAGATGAATTAGACACCGTAGGGTTTGCACTCGAGCTGTCAATGCCTCATAGGCGTCTATGACTTGTCTGCCTATGCCGAAGAGGCGACTAGGACTTGTCTGCCTATGCCGAAGAGGCGACTAGGACTTGTTTGCCCATGCCGAAGAGGCGACTAGGACTTTGTTCTGCCTATGCCGAAGAGGCGACTAGGACTTTGTTCTGCCTATGCCGAAGTGGCAACTAGGACTTTGTTTTGCCTATGCTGAAGAGGCGACTAGGACTTATCGTAGTGTCGAGGTCTTTTGTTAGTTCGGCACCATAGCCCTTAGGCTCCTGGGAGTGACTCACAGTCCTCTCTCCAGTCGGTCGTCTTTTTCGACCAGTTCGGTATTCACATAGACTTAGAGAAATTTTGCCCTGAAATCATGGGTTCATAAGTAATACCTTCTTAGGTTATCGATTTTCCATGCTCGAGGTACCTACTTCCCTTCCAAAGGCTCGAGCTCATATGTGCCTTCCCCGAATACCTGCTTTACTCGGTATGGACCTTCCCAATTCGGTCCGAGCTTACCAACGTCGGGCTCAGGTATCATAACCTTCCGAAGAACCAAGTCATCGACGCGGAAGTGTCGTTTTCTGACCTGGGAATTATAGTACTGAGCTACTCTTTGTTGGTACGGAGCTCGTCATCGTTTGTTTCCTCATCATAAGCCTCCAATCGTAATGTGGGCACCTCTATTTCCGCCGGGATCACCGCTTTTGTACCATATGTGAGGTTAAAAGGGGTTTCTCCCGTTGCGGTCTTAATAGTAGTTCGGTAGGCCCAAAGGACACTGGGCAGTTCGTCCACCCACAATTCCTTGGCTCGAGCTAAACGAGCTTTCAATCCGCAAAGTATCGCTCTGTTAGTTACTTCTGCTTGCCCGTTCGCCTGGGGGTGTGCCACCGAGGTAAAATTTTGTTGAATCCCCATTTCGGCACACCAGTTTTGAAACTTAACATCTTTGAACTGCTTTCCATTGTCGGATATTAGCACTCAAGGTAGTCCGAAGCGACATACTATGCTTTTTCAGAAGAAATTCTGTATGTTGCGGGTTGTAATCGTTACCAAGGGTTCGCCTTCCACCAATTTCATAAAATAATCTACTGTTACGACCAAAAACCTCATCTGCCCTGTTGTTGGTGGGAAAGGACCAAGGATGTCGATTCCCCACTACGCAAAGGGCCATGGGCTGGTGAGGTATTTCAAATCAGCAGCAGGTTGATGGTGAATGTTGGCATGCCTCTGACACTTGTCACACTTTTTGACGAGCTCGAGTGCATCTACCTTCATCGTGGGCCAATAATAGCCTTGCCTTAACACTTTCTGTGCGAGAGTTCTGCCTCCCAAGTGTCCACCGCACAAGCCTTCATGGGTGTCGCGAAGTACATGCTCAGCTTTTGAGGGTCGCAAGCAGTGCAGGTAAGGGAGCGTGAAAGATCTTTTGTACAACTATCCGTCTATGAGGACGTACTTAGCTGACTGGCGCTCTGCCCTTCGGGCCGCGTTGCGTTCTACAGGTAGGGTCCCGTGGAGCAGATAACTCACGAGTGGGTCGATCCAGCTCGATTCCGCTTGTGA